ATTATTAAAATTACCATAGAAATCATGATAGTTTCGTGTGACGGCCGATAATCTTTTATTTTTCTTACCCTCTGTAAATAAATTCCTATTAAAACAAATAGTGACATATCTTTARTTATGAATGAATTACTTGTAAGGATATTAAAATTGTTGACTAAAAAATTTGCAAATTTTCGTAGTCGTGACAAATATCAAAATTCAAACTTTAAAAGTTCAAATTAAATGAAAAAATATTGTGTTCATCATCCAAGTATTTTTTCCACTATAAATTGTTTACACAATATACATACACATTGTAAAATTATTAAATTCATTGCTCGACGTTCTGTTCAGAAACTAAAATTATAATTTTGTCATGTTTCATATTCCAATAACAAATCTATGTGGCACAAATGTACACCCTTGTCGCTAGCACCCTAGCATCAATCTTTTGATTCCACAGGTATAATGTTTGACTTTCTATAATTTTCTTGAACCTGAAGCTAATGAAAATGTGTTTTCCTGATTGTCAAAAGTGCCTAACAACACACCACGTATCTCGCTGCGAATATGAATATTTTATATACTAATGCGCGTTATTCTATATTTTTACAGTTTGAGAAACAATTTAAGATCAATAATTGATGAAATGGGAAAAGTGTCGGCCATGGCTCAAAATTTAGAGTCACCGATCACCAGTGCCAACAAACTTATTAATTCTGATCATTTTATATACATGATGACCGAACAAAATACACCGGCGTAAGATAATTTTTTGCTATATAAGATTGTCAGGGTTACTCTGGTATTTAAATTAAGCTCCAACACTTCAGTATGATTGCCTTGATTGTGTTTGTATAGTAATTTTGCTGTTATTGGATTTTTGAAAATGGGATGGAAAAAATTGTTCCTTTATAACAAACAAGGTACTCGTTCGGAAATCTCGGTTTATTGTTTGTTGGATTTTTACATCCATGTATCTAAGCAGCGTCAAGGTTATGGAAAACGATTGATTGAATACATGTTACAGGTAAAATAATCCTAACTTGCTATGTTATTACATACTCGTATTCTAAATAATTATAATTTAGTCACAATTTGTTTGTTATCAAACTAAAATTATAATCCAATATATATGTCATATAATATAGGATACAAAATTACATCCCAAACATTTGGTTATTGACAAGCCAACTACAAATCTATTACAATTTATGTGGAAAAATTTTCAACTATCAAAATTGATAAACCAGGGAAACAATTTTGTCGTCTATGAGGATTTCTTTGATGAATGTAAGTGTTCTATATTTGTATGTATAATATTATGAATTTATAATATTTGATTAGCTTTATAGAATACAAATTAAATATATAATCATACCATGTTAATTTATAGTTAATGAAAACCATGATGATACTGGCAACAGGTAATATTATATTCATTATATATTTTAAACAGAAATTAATTATTTTTATGTACTTATACAGAACATCAGGGTATAACCGTCCACCGACATTTGGACGCCATGGGGCTCATAAACATCATGATTCAATGGGTGAAGTAAGTATTAACATATCAATTTTGAAATATTTGTGTTTGTAATTAATTTTTTTGAAATTATTTACAGATTGTACAAAATACAGGAGCTTCTTCTTTTGTCAAGCACGAGGAAGCACATCATAACAATGATATGTATGTTTTTTTAATCTATGTTAATTTATTTATARTAAAATGTATATTTGTATGTTTACTTTAGTGTTCATAACCAGTTTAATGAAATGAAACCGCATACTGAAGAAGCTTTAGGCTCACTTCAGATCAATAAGTATGGTGACTATGTGGAGCGAGATCTTAAATACCATCATAGCTCTACATAATGCAAAAAACTATCAATTTTAGTTAAGATTACTTAATCCACATAAGTATAAAATCATAAATTCAAACAATTATACTCTACACTTAGTGAGCACTTGACATATTATATTTAAATAATAGCTATTGGTAATAGGAACAAAATATTCATTACTTTTATTTTTCTAAAATATCAATTGCATTTTTCATTCTAATTTCACTTACCTACATAATGGTTTACTTTATTTGTTATTTTGTTTACATCRYGCCTATTACCTTTTTTTTATACACTTTTTATTATTATGATGATAAATCCATAAGCTTTACTTCAATATATATTAACACTTGATAATTRTATGGACTTTTAAATTATCTTAACCTACTTTAATTCCGATTACCCTATTTCAGTCTTTATTTTCATTCAGACATTGGTACAAAAACCAGGAAGGTTGGAAGTGTTGAAAACTGAATTTCTTCAATMATAACTAATTGAAACGGTCTTGTTCAAACTTCAAACCAACAATAATCTATTCCCACATTTGATTACAAATATAAATTACAAAAGAATTATTTACTTGTTTTAGAAAAAAAATGTATGAATATTTATAAATTGTATACAATGTAGAAAAATATGCTTTAATTAAATTTTGTATTATCTATTTATCTACTATCTGGAGTTGGGATTAATGTGTTATATAACTATCGTTCGATAAAAAGTGTATAGCCAGTGATAAATTGCYAAGCAAATTGTGGGTGTATACTGTAACCAATATAGTGAGATATTTTAAACATGCTCACCACCATCTATATACATTTATATATTCAAATTCTGATTCTTAGAAATTTAAGTACCTATACCAAAAACCTATTTTCTGATTTCTGATATTTTTTTTACTACYTACTGAAGGATTGTCATTTGGTAATACAAATTTCTATCTTTCAARTGAAAACCCCCTTTTTKAATACAAATTGCTTAGCAGAAGATTATTTGAAAATSTTTATTGTTCAAAATTTGATTAAGTTGTTTCTTAGTTATTAAAATGTTTTTAAACATAAACACTTAAAAATAAAACTATGTAATTTATGTAAAAATTAACTTATATATGCATTTGTAATGGTAATAACTAATATCAGCTGCAAAGATTAAAAAAATTAAAACAATAAATTGATAACTTATATTATGTACCTATTATGGGTATAGATATTATGTAACAAGACTTGGAAGGCAGGAAGGCATAAGGAATATTTGTGTAAATATGGAAGTTATAAAAATTATTAATTCAAATATATTGTTTAGGAATTAGTTGATAAAATATGTGACTCAATATACCAGACAATTTAAATTTTACAATTTACCAAAGGATTTTTTTCTCTTGATCAAATCAGTCACAATGGTTGCATTCCACTGCCCCTAAAACCAGYTAGTATAAATATATTTATAACATCAATAAAGTCAATGCTCTACAGTCTTTAAGAGACAAGACTCCAATGACGACTTTACTTAAGTCGAAATTGTTTTCCAAATGTAAATGTGTAAKCGTCCTGGACTCGGTTTGCAAGGTGTAAAATTATTGTAGGTATCCATCTCGCTTTAAATCCTGACTTCCTGAGGCTGATTGATATTCGTGAAAACGTAACAATTGTATATTTAACTATTTAATATAAATTCGTACTTAAGACTGATGGAAAAAAATAATTGTATTACAGTTTTGGGTTAGGGACTTCAGTACTTCACTATACTTCAGGCTTTCACAGTTACCGGATTGTCTACTGTTTATTTTATTTTCGGCCTCATCGAAGATCAACCAGTTTCCCCCATCGACAATCTACCCCGGAACGTCAGATCCTTCCCATAACCGACGACTTTTGAGAACGCTGTGGATCGAACATTCGTAATTCGTACCGACAAAATGCATTCTATATAGGTTAGACGCCCTCGGAATTCGTCGTAAACAATCAATAAACGATGACTACGAAGTACCAACTACTAAACCCGAGAGTTTTACCTGGAAAACACTTCAAGGTGAAAGACGCCCACTGCAGTCCATTGGATGACACATCAGAATATTCACAACACATTAAAACTTTAAGCGGCCCATACATGATAAATAATGTTATTGGTATCATGTATCATTTAAAACCCGTCAAAAATATCAAAAAGGCTTATATTTTTAACATTATTGAAGTAGGTGTATTCAACACAACCAATACTYGGAATATCGAATAGRTATTTATTGTATTCTATGAAAAAAAAAGCCCCGTACCAACTATATACATTATTCTTTTTAATTAWGATTTATGTAATTAAATATAATTATTTATTTATCTACATTTAACACTTCTTTAACATCTTCATAATCAACTATAAATATAATATTATAAAATACTAGTTTAATAATGTGTACACACTTTTATAGTTTTATACCATAATAATCTATGATAAACTAATACTCCTGCAGTCACCTATCACATTAAACAATARTTTATTAATTTTTCAAAACAAGTGCTACAAAATACTTTATTATTTATGTTGAAATATAGACAGGTATATTGTTTAAAAATTAAAAATTATAAATTGTACGCTATAGTAGAAGTGTTAGGAATTTAGTTGGTACGGGGCTTTTTATTTTTACCGCTCTTTTTTTCAAATACCATTGATCGCGCATGAGTCAGTTTTACCCAAAGTCTAGACCGACTCGAACAATTGTCGGTCTATAATAGTCAGCAATATTCACAGCATAGACCTTATACTAGTACAAGGTAGCAGTGGCGGTGTGATAGGGTGCTTTAAGAGGCAATTATTGCCTCACTACCGATTAGGCGGTTCTACGATACCCCTTGGGACGGATATATAACAATTACATACCTATGGTTACTATTTACTAACATAATATTTTKTATATAGCGTATACAATAATGTGGTATTGTGGTAATACTAAAGGTGGATTGATAAAGTTAAGGAAACCAGAAAATATTTAAACAAACCAATTTTATGGTTTATCAAGATAAAAATATATTGATCKGTTTCACTTGGCTCCGTGTTTGAATGTTTGTTGTTGTTTATCTGGATTCATGGATAGCAAAATAGCAATAGCTTATATTAACAAAATACACGAGGCACCACATATTATAAGTAATTTTATTATTTTCTGGTCCTAGTGTTATTAACATGGCAAAAAGTGTATTATTGTCGTAGAATTGTGAATTGGGAGTGTGGTGGCAAAGCCCTCCGTGGTCTGTGCTATAAGATTTAGGTTGTGGTGGTCGAACATCTATATTTGCCTCGTGAAATAAAATAGTTCAAGGCAATCATCAGTA